TTACTCCCTTGGAGATCCACGCTTGCGCGACCCCCTTGAGAGTGGTTGGGAAATATTTGCACCAAGTCGCTTCGGATCTGGGGCAAAGATGCATATGAGTCTCATACGAGGCCACGTGATCCTTCGGATCCGAGGTCCCGTCATATGTGATGTGCGACGGTATTTTAACCGTGGGCACGCGCTCTTCCAGTATCCATTGCTCGAATGGTGAACTGGCGGGTAGCATAACGGCCTTGCCCTTGTTCCTGGCCGAAGGGACCGCGCTCCGCCCTCTTAGAGAGGTAGGAGTGGTTTTCGTCCCTGGCTGGGAAGTCTGGGCCTCGGCTGCAGGGAACGAGAGGCGACTGCGCACACTCGGTTCATTGCCGCCGAGTCGGTCGAGGACGCTTCGGCGAACCGTCTCAGGTTCTCGGTGAGTAGATTCTGGCCGAGAAGCTGAGCTGCTGCTCTTATGCGTTTCTGGTCGTGAGGATGAGGATCCTTTTAAAAATTGAGGGTTCTTTTTCCTCTCTTTTTCATTCTTCCAGGTATCCTCTTCCCACTCTTCCAGTTCCCGGAAGGAAGGAAGCTTCCCACCATCATGGTCTAACTTCCTCCGCTGATGCCGGGTATGCGGAGGAGTTCGATCACGAGGTGGTGGCATATTTTGTGCCCTCATCGCCTCCATGAGTACTGCCAGTGCTCTTGCCACCTCTTCCGAGCTGGGCCCCGTCAAAGGGGTCCTCGGCCGAGTATGGGAATGAGGGCGCACAGTCGATGGTTGGCTTTGGGGCACTGAATGTGTCCTATGATCGGACTCACCCCTGCTAGACCGAGAGTGACTCGGCCTATAATGAGAGTCATGAATTACGGGAGAAAGGGAATCCTCCTTGTATGATCCTCCCCCCGAGCTGGCACCCTTGGGAGAGTTCCGGTCCGGCGAGGGTGATGGTGTAGGGGTTTTAGGCTTTTCGCCCGCTCCTTGACGGAGGCCCTTGCTCTTGCAGTTCTTAGCCATTGCTACTAAGATAATTGCAAGATAATCTTGGTTAGAAATTTGGCTTAAAATTTTTTGAAAGTCTTCCCCACAGACGGCGCCAAATTGTTTCGGGTGAAAACAATGGGACCTTGCCGAAGGTCCGCTGAAACGGAGAAGACTAGATTCGGTCCAAGTTATGTTGGGCCGAAGGTTTCCTGCACAGTAAACATACGTAAACTAGCCTCGGGGGTGTTGCCGAGGAAGGCCCCTCCGATGCTAAAGTCAGTACAATGTGTAGAAAGAGAACACTATGCAAGAGAATTTGTTGCTTGAGGCTTTGCTTGAATATATGAGAATATATGAGAATGTATGGGAATCTATGAGAATATGTGAATGAATGTGTATATATGAATATTGATGGCTTTTATACCTCTTCATACATGGAGAAGTTGGGCCTTAGCCCAATTGGCTTGCTTTGAGGGCTGACCTTTGACTTTAGCACAATTGGAGAGTTGAACCTTGACCTTGGGCTTTTAATTGGATCATTTAATGCCTAGGCCCAATTGGACTAAATTGGACCCAAACAGGCAGGATTTATTCAAGGTCAATTTTTGGAGTTTCAGACAATAAAAGTTGTTTCTTGGATCCATGCAGGACAAAAAAAAAAAAAGGTTAATCCTTCAATTACTAAATTAATATAATAAATCAAATGAGAATTATTTTCACAGCTACAAAAAAATCAATGGGCCTCTTGTTGATTAAGGTGGTAAAACAAAACAATTTGGATTGGAAGAGGAAAAGGTTATATACACACGAATGACACGATCATAGCTTTGTTGTAAGATTGATTTTATTCAATTGTTATTATCTCTGTAGTCCGTATTATAAGAATAAGGAGGATGTATTCCACTCTTAGGAAAACAGTTCATTGCATGCATTTGAGAAAATTGTTTTCTACAATACCATTTACAAAGGAAACAATTGAAAAATGGAACCTTGAATTTTGAAATCTCTTGTGAATTCCAAATAAACATGGTCATTATATTGAAAACACTATGCAAATTTAATGACATACTTTGATAATTGAGTATACTTCTGAGATCTAACGACAAAGTTTCAAGTTTCAACCACCTTAGTATGAACATTTCTAGTAGCTAAAAATGATCATTCATCATAATGGGAGACGATGATTGGTGTAATAATGACATGTATAGTTGCTATCTTGTTAATAAATGAGGAATTTAAAGAAATATTTGGCAATTTACAATTTTGCACCAACAAAGGGTCCAATAGTTCAATACACATGCACATTTGCCGCAAATGTAGCAATTCAGGCAATTTTATGGGAGGTGAATGTAAAAGTAGAAAACACTACACAAGGGACACAAAAAAAATACCACTATTAATGAAATGTTGAGTCAATTATGTTGTATCCTTGTTCATATAGACAATAGTTAATGGTCCATTTCATAAGACGTTCCCGTTTCTTTTTCTTTTTCTTTTTTTTTTTTATTATTATTTTTTTTAATTTTTTAAAATATAATCTATATTGCACAATTTTGTCTATAGTAATAGAGTATATAAACCAATTTTTTAATACATAATTTTTTTGAAATAGTATACGTCAAATTAATAAGATCACTGGTATTAATTTTTTTTTTAAAAAAAAAAAAAAAAAGATCTCACCTGATCATGGTTTTTTTTTTTTTTTTTTTTAAATGACGAGAAAAATAAATTCTTAAGGAAGGAATTAGCCAACTAAACGAGTGTATATGTATGATAAACTTGACCGATTTATATTAGGTGACAAAGAAAATACAGATTATATTGATTTCGAACGTATTAAAAATGGTCATTTTTTGTGTTTAACTTAAACATATTGCAAAAAAAATATTAAGAATATTCACTTGGAAACTGAGAGTGAGGGATAACTCAAGTTGTTAGAGTTCCTCTCCTGATTCCAAGAGATCTTTAGTTCGATTCTCATCACCTGTCCTTGTGGCTTTCTAAACACCAAAAACTTAGAAACTCGATACACCTAAGTGTGTGATTTCTAATACTTCGTAGTAGAGTATAAATTATTGTGAGTACATTATTGTATTCGTATTTAAAATAGTAGGCACAAGATATTTTCCGAAAGAAAACCACACGAACACAAGTTAAAATTTGACCCTACCAAGTTCCAATTAAACTACATTGACGTAGAAATTACTGTATGAGTGGGCATATGTTACATTATTACCTGCTCATAAAGTAACACATTTGTCAATCCTGTAAATGGGTTGTTAAGTAGCTCTCACTTCTTAACAAAATGTCTGATATGTTTTAACCATCAATTCATCTGTGGACATAATTAACCTGTATTTTTTGTTTGGTACAGATCTGAAGACAGTGGCAGTACAAGTAATTTTTGAAAACATTTTTAAGGAACGAGTTTATCTTTATTTTACATACTACGGAGTATTTTTTTTTATTTTTATCAAAGATTTAACTTACATTTAAAGATTTCGAACTTATAGTGTGTCCATGAACATGCACCAGAAAGTCTCAATGTAGAAACATCATCTTTTGTAATGAAGGAACAAGTTTTAGGCTTAGGCGGATTTTTTTTTTTATAGAACATGTACTGCAAAGACGCAAAAAATAAAGATTGAACTGATAGTTTAACCTAAAACTCTTCATAATCTATTCTATCAATCTTAACCAAGGTAGAGAAAGGAGGGAAATTAAGAATTTAAGACATCTGTTATATGAGTAAATTAGAGAAATCATGGTAAAATATTTATTATGAAGGGTTGCGACAAAGTGACTAACAATGGATGGTGATAACTCTCAAAAGTCAAAACGCATATGCTCATGATTAATTGATTACGCAGCTTCTGTATCAAGTGAATCCTCACTCCACCAGTCTACCTACTAAGATATTAGCAAATTCTTCCACTATAGTTGAAGGGAGCAAATCAAGCGAAAGCAAGGATAAAATTGATCATAGATGTTGTTCCTAGTACATATAGTTATCTTCCTATGTGTTGCCCAGTGAAAGCAGCAATTACAGGAATATATACTACGCAATCGATAGCTCAGCCTACTAGTTTAAACCTTGATTAACAACCTCCCAGAGAAGTAACTGTAATTGTTAAGACTTTAACATGTATGCTGTCAAGTGTCAACTGCTGTGCGTACCGTATGGGGCTGGAAACTGCTTTACAATGTAACGCAGTACAGCAGAAATAGATAATTGAGAAAGCTGAAGTTGCTCTAGCCATCTGTACTTCTGTAGTGTATACTGAACATAGGCGATTCTAAAGGGTAATAATCTGAAGCACAAACTAATCAAATATTCAACTGTCTTTAGATGCTTCTTTATAAAATTAATGATACTACGACATAATGTACAGCTGTAATGCGGAAAATGGAAAAATAAGTCAATACTTCCTCCGTCACTAAAATATAGGCCATGTTTTATTTATAGGTTGTTTCAAAATAACAGGTCATTCTATGAATTTACCTCAAAAATAATCCCCATCTAATCTATCGAAAGATAGTTTCTGTATTTAACACAATTCTTTAATAATGATCCCCAATCAAATGTGTCCTGTTAAGAAATAAAATGACATCAATAACCTGAGGAGCTCCTAATTCAAGAAATAGGGGTGTTAAAAATGGTTCCATCGTCGCCTATAATAAGCATGTCTCCAGTAGCACTTGCAAGGGAAGAAGTTCAGAAGTAATTTAGACAGTCCAGTTTGTGATCTATTACTAGCAGGATGGTATCGCTGGTGTCCCTTAATACAAGCACATAACTTTATTGCTAGATTTGTTATTGGTGAACCGATTATCACTAAGACCCAAAAAGAATACTACTATAAACAGGTTAGTAAGAGGAGAGTTTAGAAGTTGAAAATTTCTCAGGATATCCAAGCCGATACCATAGCTGCATAAAGGTGCCTAATACCGGGCAAAATCAAAGGGGAATGCGTCTAGTTTCTGTCTATATACACATGCACGCAGTATCAAAAAGCACCATACAACAGATACTAAATTCAACAGGAAATTATCGTCAGAAGTTTAAATTTTCCAACCCAATTCAGAAACTTCCCCTGCATTATACAACAAATGTTTTTATGTCCCTAGAAACCAGATGAGGTTCAAATTAACATTTACAAAAAGCCACTCTTTTTAGACTTTAACATCATGGTTCAAACAATGCAGCAAGATTTTACCAAACCATAGGAAGTAGATGTCAATTTAATCAATAATTTACTCAGACAGAGAAAGATTTTACCTCAAGAAGAGAAAATATATATTCAGTGATGACTTTTTGTCACTTAATTTCAATTAGAATTCTTCCAGTCTCCAACCTCAAACCATATCCAGCTTTGCTTAAAACACCTTATTCATCCATATGCTTATGTTCTTCCATTTATGTTCCCTTTCCTATTTCTTCAGGGATGCAGCTCTGAGTTTACAACTCGGGAAGCTGATACCATTATCATTAATGTTTATCAGAGAGGAATAAAGCCATTGAAATGCAGATGCAAAGTGGCAAGTTTGCAGGAAGATTTTTTTGGGGGGTTGCACGATACTTGCTAGCAGCAAGAGAAAAGTCACTTGGTGTCCCACTGTCGAATGTTAATGGCTAGCAAAAGATGCAGCTCTTAATGATCAGGATTATTCACTTTTGCATACACTTAGTTTTCTTTGCTTGTATTATATTGCAAATCAACAACACCAAACTCAGTAGCAGCAAAATTACAGATAGTACACCACCACGCTCAAAAGCAGTACAAGATATTGGATGTTACACCAAAATTTTGGATGGTACACCACCACACTCATTAGCTTCTACTTGATAGTTTTACATATTTCATCACAGTGCCACACTTAATACCTGTGGACTAGTATTTGGCATACTGCCTGAGTGCCTGATGCTTTACTTGATTCTAGAATTAGTTAAAACACCAATTTCCAAATTCCAAATTCCAGCCGAATTACTTGCCAATTGGAATATCGAGAATTTGTTTCCCTTTGGCACGCTCCAGAGTGCAGAGTCACTGGCTTTACCAAACATCCTAATTTCAACAGGGCTAAGCAAGTTGTTTGAGAGCGTAGATGGCTGGAACTTGGAACTACTGAGCCACAACCAAACAAATTATACTTAGTCAACATGTCTTCTAATAGGTTTACCAGGATTCCTCTGCTTAAGCTTTACCTTAACATAAACCCCATTATCTATAATCGATTGAAGGACGAGCTGAAGCTTTCCCTCCAACTTGTCTCCTTTTCGGGGCGTATAAATTACATCATGAATATCATCAGCCAAAGCACGCTGTGCTAGAACTGTTCCCACAGAGGATGCAGCAACTCTACTTTTGGTAGACCCAAGGCCAAATTTCATGTCTTTAGAAATGGAATGTGCAACAACGACAACCTTGCTTGTTACTCGGTGGACTACACAAGCACGAACTGAACCTTTTGACACATGAATGTCAAGACAAAAAGGTTCATGGAAAGGCCCCGTGAGCTGGTTGAAAGTCGGGCTTCTTAACTTTTTCCCAGCAGATGAGCCATCACGATCATGATCACAAATAACATAGTTCTCCTCGATAGTTTTAACAAGCCGCTCCTTGTTCACCAAGAAACAATCTTTTGAACCTGGCTTCTTGCTACTCGCCTGCTGACTGTCCTGACCCTTCAAAGACTTTTGCCTGTTTTGAGCCAAATCACATTTCAGGCTTTCTTTCTTCTTGCTTTCCTTTTCATCATTTGTACTAGACTTTAACTTCTTTCCATGATAGTCAAATTTGTATTCTTCAAACTCCATCGAACTTTTCTCAATCTTGTAAAAAAGGCTTCCATAGAGTCTCATATCTTCAATCTCATCAATATCGGGATCACCCTCAACCTGATCAGGATGATCATCTACTTCCTCTAAACCAACCATTCTCAACTGTGATTCCTTTTGTTCACTCTTTAAAACACTAGACAAACCCGAAGAAATAGACCAAGTATCTAAATCAACAACCTCAATTTCACGACTATCAAGTTGAGGTTGATCCCGACAAAGCAATGGCACATTAGAAATCCCTCCAAGATGATTCCTTAAACCATTGTCATTCTCGACCAAAGTTGATGAATAAGAACTTCTTTCATCCTTATCAATACAAACCCGGCTCGAAACATATCTATTAAAGAGGGTAATACTACAAGGATTTACTATCGAATTCGAAGAAGCAATTCTTCTCAATAAGACTAACATCATGCGGTTTAGCACAAAACAATGGCTAACAAATTTGAAATGTCATCAAAATCGACTCTATCCTTCAGTTACAACATACCATTTTTCTGCAATACAAATAGCATTGGAAATTAGAGAAGACAATACACAAGTTCACACATTTCCTACCTATTAAAGCAGGAATCTACCTTCACTTATTATTAGCAAAATAATTAACTGTTCATAGGCTTATAACAAAACAAACACAACCCAACAATTAGTTTAATTTAAGCAGTATACTTATGATTTTTTTTTTTTTTTTTCTTAATGTCAGCTCAAATTTCTGGGCAAATGATAAAGAAAATCAACAGCAATGAAATAGAAAGTTAAGGGGAAGTTATAAAGTTTTAACCTTTTAATAAAATCTAGATTCAAAACAAAAATTTAACAAAGAGTTGCAATATATATGATTTCAATTCAAACCCTAAATCACTAATAATTGATTTACATTGTCAATTCTGAAAAAAAGAAGTAAAATTTACCGTAGAAGAGGAAGAGGAAGTAAATTAAGGCCACTGTTCACCAGAAAAGGCTGGTGGTCGCCGCCTCGCCGGAATAAACCACCTTTTGAAGCGAGACAGAAAGGAAGAAAGAAGCGCGATTGTTATACTTTGTACAGTTTTTTTTTTTTTTTTTTTTTTTTTTTTTGGAAAATATAGGTTAAAAGATAAATCTAATGGTAATTTGATGTAACCATTTTTTTGGTAAAACATAAGAAAACCTCTCTCAATTTGAGTTGATCAATATGGTACTAGTCTTCTACAATTTACTATCAATTTTACTATTTTATTCTGGAGAAAAAAAAAGTGAATGTCAATTAAGTTTAGTTGGTTAAAGTTTTAGGATTTAACTTATCTTTGTATGTATACAAGTACAAGAAGGCAGTGGCGGATCCAGGGTTTTTCGGGTGCTAGGTCACCACCGACTAATCAATAATTAATGCAAGAATATTAAAAAAAAACCACAAATGCTTCAATTTACAATCCACATATGCAATTATCCAAACTAATCAATTCCAAAAAAAAAAAAACAGAAACCCTAAGTTCTAATATGAAATCATCAATTAATCAATTTTACTGTCAATTTATAATATCAATTTACAGGAAACAATTTATAATATCAAATTATCAATTTACAGGAAACAATTTCAATTCCTAAAAAAAAAAGCAGCAATTCAATTCCTAAAAAATCAGAAACCCTAACTCCCTAAATTGATAAATTATCAACAATTTCAAAAAACAATAGAACACACCCTAATTGACTAGATTAAATTACATAATCACCTCAATTAATCACAAATTCAAGTACTCAACCCAACAATTCAACAATTTGGGTATAATTTACAAATTTAAAAACTTAAAAACAAACTTACCTGGCAGCAAGAAGAGTCGAAGAGCGCCGAGTGTATGCGGATGGAGCAGCCGGAGACTCGGCGAGGCGGTGCGGTGGCGACTCCGGCGAGCGGCGGTGCGGCGGCGAAGAGCGAAGAGAGAGATTGAGATTTGAGAGAATGAGTGCATGAATTTTGAAGTTGGTCTCTGTTTTGTTTCTTTTCCCCTTCCAGTAGACTGTCCGTGTTTTTTTTTTTAAATTTTTTTTTTTTTTTACAGGTCACGTGACCTACCTGGACCAAGGGTAGGTCCGCCACTGCAAGAATGTTAAGAAAGATTTGAGATACTATTCAGAAAAAGAAAGATTTGAGAATTGAGATAGACAATTTATTTTTTATATATATAAAAGAAGTTTAAGATTGAGTTAGAAGTATGGAGTAATTGATACAATGTTCGAAGTATATATATATAAATCGATCTCATTGAAGTGTTGAAGCTACTAACCATGAAGTTGGTTTTATATCTTTTAAGTCGATGAGATCATTAGACTACAAGCTAATTCTCCATAAGGAGAGCTTCCTAATGTTTCTTTCTTCTTACCTTTTTTTTAATAAAAAAAAATAAGAAAAAAAAAAAGTTCACAAATTACAATTGATTTATTCAGAAACAACCCAATACAAGTAGATTTAAGTCTGGGTTGTTCATGTGTGGCAGTGACATTATGAGCTTTTCGTTGCATCAAAAAGTTCTTTGTTATCTTTAGCTATCTAATAGGCTTGTGTTCTATTGACTCCAAATGAAGTTTGAGTGTAGTTCCAAATGGAATTGAAATTGTTCTGATGATGAAACATTAATTGTTCAATTTCTTCCATTCTAACACTTACAAATGCTCATATCTCTTTAATTTATAGTTCAATAAGCTATACAGAAGTATAATAATTTCTTATCGTTGGAGAACAAACTTATTTGAATAACTTGTAATCAAATAATTGATCACTGGCATCAGTTATAGACTTATGGTACAATAAAATACATCACTCACGTACATAATTGACTAATGTTCAACTTGCATATATCTCATGAGCGTACTATGCACTCCATTATAAGTATGTGCCCTCATATATGTGTACGCACACAAATTAGACATGACATTCTAAAGGAGGAACTGGATAACGCGATTTATCCGTACAATAATCATAAATCAAATGATTCGAACGAACCCATTGATATCTTTGTGCTTGAGTAGGGTTTAGTGTTTGGTATGGAGGTCTTTCCCACCGATTAATAAGATTCGAAGCACAAGTAGTTGGTCCGGGTACAACACAACCCTCAATATCAAAATCCTTGTAATAAGCAAAAAATGGAGCTTTCCTCCAATCAATTTTTTCTAATCCACCACGTGTCGCCCAATCATCGGCTTCCCATAATGTTGAAAACACACCCATTGGTTGGGATTTTGGGTATGGAATTCCCTTTGCTTCATTGTTTTTGTACACTCTAATGGGTACTTCATCCACAGAAAACCTACACATTTAAAATTAATAAATTACCATCTACCAATTAAGTCGTTTTCACTTGAAATTGACAAAAGAAAAAAAAAACAAGTTACATGTGACTTACACAATTTGTTTATGGTTCCATAGAATGGAGTAAGTATGATAATCAGCAGAAGGATCAAACCAAAGATTAACCCTTTGTTCTCTGTTACCCTTGCCATGAGCAAATATGTTTGTTTGAACCGTGTACGGGTGTCCTGTTCGATTTCCTAAGAACTCGAAATCCAACTCGTCACGTATGGTGTCTGTGTCCGAGTTCATCTAACAATGTTTAAAAAAAAAAAAAAACAAATAATTATCTTCCAATGTATACAATGTATGGTTTAAGTACAACTAAATTAAACATTTTTTTCACTTTCAAATAAGTTGGAGTGTAGACTTTAGGCAACTCACGTAAAATGCAGTCACAGTTCCTGCAGAGTCACCAGCAACAAGCTTGATCTTCATGCTAATTCGTCCATAAATGTATTTGTACTTGGACGCAAATCCACACCCTATATTTAATTCATAAAATATTAAGCCATATTCATAATAAGTAACATAACCTTCTTGCAAAGTTTCATCTCAAAACCAAATACTCGTATATACTACTTCTGTTACATATTAGTTGTAACTTTAGAATATTTTATCTCTCACAAATAATACCTAAAGTTTATGTAACAGAGGTAGTAGTATTATTTATATGGATGTAACCACAGCCCACTAAAGGTATAATATTCGGTATACATTTTTTTTTTTTTTAAAAAGGGAAGTTGGTAAGGAGAAGGGGCCCTATCGGGCTGGAACCTCTCACAAGTCTTCTCAGCCTAGGTAGCAGGGTGCCAGGGTAGACACTTTGGAAGTTGGGGTAGGAGGGTAAGGGAATCCCCACTCCAAAGTGCCTCTAATGGGAATTGAACCCCCAACCTCAAAGTTGGAAGGTATAACCCTTTTCACTAGGGAGTGTAGGTTATAGTTTTCGGTGTGTATGCTTGTCCTAGACAGAGACTCTAGCCTTATGTACGGTAACGTATCCACCATCTATCAATGCTCTTAGAGAGCCTAACACCAAAAGTGTCTTCATACATCATGCATGGTATGCTTATATATAAGCAATGCTCAAATTTAATATTAGGTCACATTTTGGACTTAAAGATAATAAGTCAAGCTTGCATAAAGGGAGAGATTATAGGCAACGACCACAACCACAACCACAACGTAATATACAACTCTGTAGGTCGTCTCATTTTAAAATCAATTTATTGATTAAATTCGCAACGCAATTAGTTGTTACGTATATATGAATATGTTACCTGAATTTTTATCAAGAATAAGTTGAATGGCCCTGCCTCCTTCAACAAGCTTCAAATGAGAGTCAGCCCATGTAACTTTAAAGTCTTGTTGAAATGTTGCTGGCCTTGCATATATTTCAAGACCATGAAACAATAAAATGAGAGAAACTAGAGCAACATTTCTTATAATAACCATGTTCATTATAATAACCTTTATGATATTAGAAGAAAAAAAATAAATAGTTAAAAAAAAAAAAAAATTAGTACCACAAATTTTACTTGGATATTAATCTATACAAGTGATGATGTTCTATTTATATTGTGAATCGCAGGTGCACTTGCAACCAATAGGAAAGTAGATGGAAAATTTGATGTATTGTACTACGTACTATATATACTGTAGTTATCTTAATTATGAAATCTAACATAAGTATCAATATTGTCCCAATACTTTTAGATAGAGTCCTACATATGGGATCAAATGTCCTCAACTAAAAACATTGCTAGTACAATAGTATTAGTAGGATAGTAAATAGAAAATGAAATTGCATGCAATTCTTTTAAATAACACTCCAGTCCAAGAAACTCCTTAACCAGCTACTCCCTTTTTTCTTAAATGTTTGCTTTATGTCTAAAATTCACTCTATTAAGGTTTGTTAGAAAGGCCGAAAAAGTATGAAGTGTGGATAATCGTCTCGTTTAATATATATTTCAATATATAAACTAAAAATCTGTCACTCTGTGAGTTGTCTTACCATAAAAGTATAAAACCTTTTTACTATTGGATAATTATTTGAAGTTTATGTTGTTTCACCTTTGATTTAAATTTACAAAACTCCATTTTTCTCTCTTTCTTTTTTCTTTTTTTTTTCTTTTTTTTTTTATTTTTTAAATAATTACTTTAATGTGATGACTCTAAATATTTTCCCTGTTTCTAATATGGATCTTGGTCTCCACCATTAAAAATAGGATGTTTAGTTGTTTACATGTTTCATTATTATAACTTGCCCAATTAATTTCAATACATCCCTTATCAGAAGGGTGGTAAGGCACTAAGGGCCTGTTCTGATTTACTGAACTGAATTGATTGGAGCTGAACTGAAGGTCCCGTTCACTTCATCTTATTTTTGCTGAACTGAAATTATTTTTAATGAACTAAATTTAATTTACTAAACTGAAATTTTTTTATATTTCTTCTTTAAGTTTACTGATTTTTACTGAATTGAAATTATTTTTACTGAACTGAAACTATTTTTTGCAGAATCGAACTTATTTTTACTGAACTGAAATTAATTTAATTGAACTTAAATTATTTTTTACATAATATTATTTTTTAAGGTGAAGTAAACAAGGCCGAATTGTTTATGAGAGAAGAAAATTAAGAACTGAACTGAACTGAACTGATTGGAGCTGAACTGAAATTAAGCTGAACTGAAATTAAGTTGAACAGAATAGACCCTAAGCCATTAAGTTTAAAATGTTTCTTTGTCTTTTTCACTTTTTACGAGTGAATAGAAGTGGGGTAAATTAGATGATTTTTAAATAAACCTGGGCACGGGCCGGGTTGGCCCGCGTGCCGCCCGGCACGGCCCGCCGTTCGGTGCAGCCCGGCACGGCCCGAAGTCAAGCACGGCACGGCACGAAGTTCAACTTCCGTGCCACGGGCCGTGCCACGGACACGGTGGAGAATTCCCAGGCACGGCCCGGCACGAGCACGGGCATGGCCCGCCGTGCTGGCCCGCAGGCACGGCCCGCGGGCCAACGGCTATAAAACGGCTATAAAACGGCTAGTTTTTTGCCAAAAATTCTATAAATACTCACCTCCATTTCATTCCCAAATCACAAAATCACAATCTCTTCTTCTTATCTCTTATATTCTCTAAATCTCTAATAATCCTTATTTTCTTAAATTCTCTAATTATTCTCTTAAATTCTCTAATTATTTTCCTAATATCGGAAAAAATTAAAAAGTTCGTAATCGTAATTAGTGGAGCGTTGAAGCACGGTTGTAAGATCTAAACTAATCTTAAATTTATTATTGTTTTATTGTTATTATTAGAATAATCTTGTTTAATTATTATTGTTGTTAATTGTTATTGTTGTTGTTATAATTGTTGTTATTAATTATTATTATTGTTACAATTGTTGTTATTATTTATTTTTGTTGTTATTGTTATTGTTATAGTTGTTGTTATTAATTATTATTATTGATATTTTTATTGTTAAAATTGTTGTTATTAATTATTATTATTATAGTTAACCACTTTTTATTAAAAAATTAATTGTTAATTATGGCATCGAACAACCCATCATCTAGGTCTAGGGGGAAAGGCCGACTTATCCGTAGTAGTAGTTTTAGGGAACCACCAAATACAACGAGCCCCCAAATTACGAGTCAAACCAATGACCCCATTTACTTCCCCCCGGGCTATGAGCCATATAATACGTCGGGATTTCCAGCACCACCACTAAACCAATTTCCACTACCACCATACCAATTTCCACCTAATTATATCGGTAATCAACAAAACTATTGTTCTAGCCAAGGTAGCCAAGAAAGTACCCGAATTCCCTCCGGTTCTACCCCTTCTACTGCCACTCCCACTAGTCCCCCTACTAACCATCACACACATCATGAATGGTTAACCGAAACTGAGATGCTACTTTTGAAAAACCGAAGGAGTGAGGTATGGCGTTATTTTGTCCTAAGTAAAGATGGTGAACAATGGGCAAAATGTAAAACATGTAATAGTGTATTCACGGCAGTTACCAAAAACGGGACGGGACACTTATCTAGACACATGAAAGCTTGTGCAAAACCAGCTAGTGATCCAACCCAGCCCAAAATTTCCCAATTCCATCCATACGGCTTTACATACAACTATGAGAGGGATAGGGATGAACTAGGAAAAATGATAGTACACGCCGAACAACCTTTTCTTTTCTCGGAAAGTGACGCATTCAACACCTACATTAACAAAGCACTACAACCCCAACATAAAAGAATCTCTAGGAAAACCGTTTGTTCCGCCGCAATGAAAAATTTCCTAGAGTACAAAGTCCGGTTACAAGCCGAATTGAGTAACCTTAACTGTAGAGTATCTTTAACAGCCGATTCTTGGGATAGTGGTTATAAATATCACTATTTATGTGTGACTTGCCATTGGGTAGATGATCAATGGATGTTACAAAAAAGAATAATACATTTCAAAATGCTGGAATACCCACACACCGGCATTAACATTGCTCACCATTTAATGCAAGCAATAGACGAATACAACCTTCGAGATAAAATGATGTCTATGACTTTTGATAATGCAACCTCTATGACATACACAGCTAATCTTATCAAACAAAACTTAACCGATGTACTATTAGACGGTGAAGCTCTTCATACTAGATGTGTTTGCCATGTACTTAACTTATGTGTACAGGATGGAGTTCGGGCAATTGGCCCATACTACAGCAAAATCAGAGATGCTATTATGTCTATTAATAGCTCTAACATGAGATACCAAGAATGGAAGAGTTTTCTAAAACAACAAAAGATAAGGGTAATAAAAATTAGAACCGATTGCCCAACTAGGTGGAATTCCACCTATGACATGTTAACAAAGGCAATTGAGTACAAGGGCCCGTTAACATTATTTTACAACCAAAAATTTCCACAAAATGCTTTGTATGATGATGATTGGAATAACTGTGAAAGATATATGCAATTTTTACAGTTATTATATAACATGACGTATTTTTTTTCTACTGTTTACAATCCTTGTGCTCAAAACTTTCTTTCTAATGCATGCTTACTCGCCCAACTTTTCGCTGATCATCGCGATCAAAGTGATTATGATCAGTATCTTCCAGCAATGGAAAAAAAGTGGCGTAAATATTATAGTGAGATTCCTTTGATTTATATTTTTGCTTCCATATTAGATCCTAGGCAAAAGTATGAAAACACATTTATGTTAGTTGACATTTACTTTCAATGCATGTTTCTTGACGATGATGTAGAAAACTATAAGACTAATGTGAAGGATCAGTTTTTTGCTTTATATAGAGTCTATGAAGCCAAATATGGCACCGTTCCTCGCTCAGGGCCTTCCCAACCATCCAAAAACGTAAGTAAGAAGGCCAAACATTTATTTTCACAAGCTACTAACTTGATTTCAAGGTTTTCAGGTGATTCATCAATCAGGAGAACGCAAAGCGACGTCTCGGAGTTGCAGATGTACCTGAGTTACGACTTCACCAAAGGCATGGACGACGATGAGATAAACAGCCTCGACCTCCTTGCATGGTGGAAACAACAAAGCTCGAAGCATCCAACTTTGGCGGCAATGGCACGAGACATTCTTGCTATCCAAGTTTCCTCCGTCGCCTCCGAACGAGCTTTCAGCGCATCCGGAAGGGTTTTAGACGATAGAAGAACAAGTCTAAAACCCGAAACACTAGAAATGTGCGTGTGTTTCAAAGATTGGTTGGATGCGGAAAATCGCTCACAAGACCGTTCTTACGACCACAACGACAACGAAGAAGGAACCTCCGCTTCCGGTTCGGGTTCGGCTAGTTCCCAATCTATGCAACTAGCCGATGACCTTGAAGGCGAAGGCGAAGACGAAGACGAAGACGAAGACGAGCAAGAAGAAGGAGAAGAAGAATAGACAATTATTGTATATTGTACGATTTTAAAAATATCAATTTTATCATTTTCCAATTTTTGTTTAATACCATCATTGTATGATTTTTATCATTGTTATCATTGTACAATTTTCTCAACTCAAGTAATAATAATATAAAGTACGCATTATTCACATCCAAAGACCAATTTGCCTTTTTTCCCCGTTTTGTTACAATTTGTAAATTCATATTAAAAAAAAATAAAATTATACCAATTACTAATAAATCATAAACATTAAATTTTAAAGTAATAGTATAAAGTAAATATATAAATATAAATATTGAATATAAAAATTATAAAACATAAATATTCAACTTATAATTATAAAATTCATAACTTAATAACTTATAACTTATAAGTTATAAACTTATAAGTTACCTTATAAAACTTATAATTATAATTTTATAACTTATATACATTATAAACTTATTAATTTATAATGTTGTCATTAAAAAAAAAAAAAAAAAAAAAATGAAAACTGCACCAGCCCGCGTAGGCCAGCCCGCAGGCCGGCACGACACGAGCCCGCCAGGCACGAGGGCCGTGCCGTGCCGTGAGCTGGCCTGTGAAAATGGCCGGCACGGCACGGCACGAAATCCTGGGCCCGCCGGCACGACCGGCACGGCACGAACC